GCTCCCGTCTCAGATCCGGCTGACGGCAGGAGTGGGGAGGTGCTAGCATCCTCCGTGGGCCCCCTCACTGTCCTTTGTCCTCCCTGTCATCAAAGAGGTTGGGGTTCTCTGCCAACGTGGCTCGGACTTTCTTCTTCTCCTTGAACCGGCCCGAATTGGAGACTTTGACATGCTTGCCCTTTGTGTTCTTGTCCACAATCTTCTCCAGGCGGGTGTTAAAGTTGCCATCGGGGCCTCCACCCTCGGGCCCAGGGGGCTCTGCGCTGCCCTCTGTTTGGGCATAGGTGTCAGGGATCTCGTAGAGCACCTTGGGAGTGGATTTCTTTTTCCGCAGGAAGGTCAGCTTCCACCAGCCCACTTCGGTCATGGCGTTCCCGGGCCGAGGGTGAGGCTTTCTGCAGGAGGAGGATGGGACAGTGAGAGGAGTCAGTCAGTGGGGAGCAGCCCTCTCTAAACTCCTGATTGTGGGCTATTCTAAGAGTCCAGGCCTGAAAGAACTGAAGGTGGAGCTGAACAAACCCAGGATTTGGGAAGAGAGGGCTCTGGGGAAGGGCCAGCCAAATGGACATCAACAGGCTGAGGGGCAGCGGGACAGCCACATACTTTGCCACGCAGGGTTGTAGGGAGCTTTGAGGAATCAGGCCCCTCAGGGCTGCAAGGAGGTGAACGGCTTGCTTGGGTCACCCAGCACCCAGGCCACTGACACCCTTCCCAAGCTGCTCCCACTAAGCCACCAGGTCCCACTGCCAGAAGCCGGCGGATGGTTGGCTGGTATCAGATGGCCAGAAACACCCTGTGCATTTTGCTTAGTATTCATTATGAAATCAGTAGGATTTGTGATTTTGAGAGTAATTTGGACTTCCCGGGGGGGCCAGCAGAAGCGAGGGCCTGTTGCATCTTTCCCGAGTAGAAGGAACCTTGGGCTGGGAGTGGGAAGTCCCGGGGACTGTACCAGCCTGGTGACCTCTAGCAAGTTACTCCTCTGGCCCTCAGAGTCCCCAACCATCCCTTCTGGCCCTAACATTTAGCTCTAATGTTAATTCCTGCCCACAGAGGGAGGCATGCTCGGTAAAGTAAAACATGATAACAGTGGTAATTATTGAAGGATGGCTCCTTTCCCCCACCTAGTTTCCATGAGGACAGGAGTCTGCGGGGGAGCTGAAAGTTTGGAAGGAGGTTTAGTGGGGCCATGAGGCCCGCATGAGATATGGTTTAGACCAGGCTGGACCCTCCATAAGGTACCCGACAGAGGTGGGGCTTGGGGCTGGAATCCAGGCGTCTTCAATGATAAGCAACGTGCCCTGGCACAGCTGTGGCCTCATCTTTCACTAACGTCCACATAGGTGCTGTCTGAGAGAGAGAGTAGGAGGTCTGGGAGACGACGTTGCATGGACATCGTTGCCGGGTGGGGGTGTGTAAGATGCAAGAAAGAGGGGCGCCTGGGTGGCTTAGTCGGTTAAGCGTCCGACTTTCGCTTAGGTCATGATCTCGCGGTTCGTGGGTTCGAGCCCCGCGTGGGGCTCTGTGCTGACTGCCAGCTCAGAGCCTGGAGCCTGTTTCAGTCTGTGACTCCCTTTCTCTCTGACCCTCCCCTGCTCACGCTGTCTCTCTCTCTCTCCTAGAAATAAATAAAACATTAAAAAAAATTAAAAAAAAAAAGATGCAAGAAAGAGACAGCAGACTGGAGGAATTCAGAGCGATGGAAGGGCAGGCAGAGGGATGAGAGATCAAGGCATCTGTGGGCCTGGAGAGGGTGGTGGTCTGGTTCTCAGGACTCTGCATGTGGCTGTGAAGGGTCCTGGGAAGGAGTAACCACAGTGCGCCAGAAGGCTACAGTACACAGGAATGCTAGACGGTCAGGCAGCCCAAGCACATGCAAATATATCACCTCCTTTTTTTCTTTTAATTTTTTAAAGTTTATTTATTTGTTTGTTTTGAGAGAGAAACGGAGAGCACGAGTGGGGTAGGGGCAGAGAGAGGAGAAAGAATTCCAAGCAGGCTCCATGCTGTCAGCGCAGAGCCTGAGGAGGGTCTCAAACTCACAAACTGTGAGATCTTGACCTGAGCCAAGATCAAGAGTCAGACACGTAACTGACTGAGCCATCCAGGCACCTCATATAGTACCTCCTTTTAAAAACCAAAGGTCTTGGGGCGCCTGGGTGGCTCAGTCAGTTGAGTGTCCGACTGCAGCTCAGGTCATGATCTCACAGTCTGCAGGTTGGAGCCCCATGTCAGGCTCTGTGCTGACAGCTCAGAGCCTGGAGCCTGCTTCTGATTTTGTGTCTCCCTCTCTCTCTGCCCCTCCCCTGCTTGTGCTCTGTCTCTCTCTGCCTCTCAAAAATAAATAAACATTTAAAGAATAAATCAATAAAAATAAAAACCAAATTTCTTAACCACATTTTCTAAAAAGTCCGGAAAGAAATATGACAAATGATTAATCGTGGTTTTCTTTAAGAACAGGGGATGTTTTCTCCCTGTATCGTTTCTGATTTCCAGATCTTCCATAATGAGCAAGGATTTTTATTAGAGGGGGAGCATATCAAATTTGAGGAAAACGGAAGCAGGATGCTGGTCTAGGCTCAGAATGGGTTGAGGGCCCACGTCCATGGGCCTTTTGCTGCCGTTATCCCCTGGTCCTTCATATACTCAGCCCCATGCCCAGAGCACACGCCTGATGGATTCCTTCCTACCTCTTTGTCTGGCGAGCAGATCCACATTGCCAGCTCTGTCCCTCTAGCTGAGCTTACGTAGCAGGAGAAGCCCAGGGGAGAGCTTGTGCAGCTCCCACTTAGAAAGTGAAAGAAAGGGTGAGAGTGGCCAGATAAATACTCTCAGGGCACCCTGGAGAGGTAAGCGCACAAAGGGGACAGCTTGAGAGGTTTGCTTTGGCAGCTTGCCCCCACCTGGGCTTAGCACGGTCTTGCACAGAACTCGGTGTTCCAGGATGGGTTTCTGGAAGGAGTTGTGGGGAGGGCACTTGCTTGGCCTGTGGGTGCCCAGTCACCGCCTGGTCTGGGGCAAGGCCCATGACCCCACCACCGCCCATCTGGGGTTGCCAAGGAACTCAGGGAGCTGAGGATCCAGCTTCTGAGCCCAACGATAACCATCTGTCTGCCCACCTCCTTGAGAGAAAGTGCTTCTGCCTGTCCTGGATGAAATACACCTGCTTTAGGGGTGCCTGGGTGGCTCAGTCAGCTGAGCATCCGACTTCGGCTCAGGTCATGATCTCCCAGTTCATGAACTCAAGCCCCACATTGGGCTCACTGCTGAAAGTGCTGAGCCTGCTTCGAATCCTCTGTTCCCCTCTCTCTAGCTCTCCCCAACTCACGCTGTCTCTCAAAAAAAAAAAAAAAAAAAAAAAAAAAAAAAAAAACACCTGCTTTAGCGGGTGCTGCAAAGGGTGCTGCAAATCGGCTTAACTCTCCCTGGAATGAAGGAAGTGACAGATCACAAGGAACCCTATCAGAAAACCATACAGAGAGACGGGAATAGACCTTGGATCCTGCCCTGGGACCACCACCATGGCACCAAGGCCCTTGTCTGCTGGCTTTGAACTCTCTGGTCTAAGATGCCTTTTGCTGTCCCTTCTTTCCGAGAGGACGTATAAGCCCCAGTAAGAGATGTTTGCCCCTTTCCGAAAGATTAACATATGAAACTCTGAACAGAAGAGAGAGAGGACTGTTTCTTTTACAAAATAACCAAACTCTAAGCTTCTTTTAAGTAGTGAGCCACCCCAAGATAGTGTAAAATCTGATTTGCTTTAAATCAAAACAGTGATGTGATATCGAAAGCTATCAAAAGTCAGAAGGAGCAATATATTTACAGCCACTTGCCCATGCCTAATCACAGAATGCCAGAGGAAATGGGGTGGGGGTGGGGGTAAAGGGTGTATTGGGTTTTTAGGCAGACCCAGCATTTGGTGACATGTGGTGGGGCCATGCGGTAGGCTTGCTCAGGGCCCTTAGCTGGCCAAGCTGAGGGCTGGGCCCTTGCTCTGGGGCCCTGCAATCTATGGGATGATAGGAATCAACCCCTGAGGGTGTGAGCTAGCTACACAGGACAGCCTGCCACCACCCCCCACCCCACCTGTGACAGCCAGCACCATGGTGTGCGTGTGGCCCCCTCAGGACAGGCCCCACCACCCCATCTGAGCTCTGTGAACTGCTCCGAGGGCCTTGTCCAGACTGAACCAAGCCCCTTCTGAGCTGGGACAAGTTAACCATTGACAGTGTTGGGGGTGGAGGGCTGGAGGGGACTTAAGGAAGCCAGCCAGCTTCAATGCTTGAAGACAGAACACAGAGCCCCCCAGCCCCTATCCCTCTGCAGGGCGCCTGATGGGACTTGTGCACTCTGGGGTAAGACTGGGGCTACCCTGGACGGGATCAGGGTGATGTTCGGCCGGAAACATCCTCCAGGCTCAGGGGGCAGGGTTGGGGGGGAGACTCCAGCTTAGTAAGAGTTAATAGAGAGCTGCTCTGGAGGGAAACTTTTCCAGAAAGAGCTCTGCTGGAGGCCTGGATTGACTCCAAGAGCCAGTGGGATGAGTCCGAGCGCTGCCTGCCCACCTAGGGGAGCGATGGGAGCCGGCCCGCCTGGGTTCCCCCTCCCAGTTAGTCTTGTCAGCCATGGAAGTGGAACCGAGTGCCCTAACTGGGCTCCGTGCCTTGGTTTCCCCACCCGCTCACCCTCTACCTGTACCTGTAATCCTGGCTGCTCCGGGCTGGAGGCGAGACCTTCCTTAGAGAAGGGGCTGAGTGTAGCAGCTCCCCGGGAGGGAGCCTGGGGGAGGTAGGGGTGCCTCCAGGGTGCCGCGCCAGGCAAGGCTCAGGCCAGGAGAGCTGGGTAGGAGCAGCTGGACGGCAGGTGCAAGAGAAACAGGTGCAGGAGCGGGTACCTGCTCCGCTGCGGCTCCAGGAGTCAAGGTGAACCTGAAACCCAGCCCCTCCCGGCTAAGTAAACAGAAGCAGAGGCCGGATCGGGCTGATGAATATTCATTACCCCAGAAATCCAATCCCAGTGCCCCTGAACCCACCCAGAAGCCAGGGTCCTCTGGGGATCACCTAAGCAGGAAGAGGAAACCCCAAGGGAAGTCTGGGGCAGGAGGAACAAGGGAGCCTCTCTCCTCAGTTTCCCCACTCCCGTGGGCCTGGTCACACCCCCCAGCTGTAGCCAAGGTCACCTTCACCCATTTCATGCCCCAAAGAGGGTCGGACCCTCTCCATCACAGACCGCATCTTGACGTCGCCCCAGGCACAACCGGGAAAGGGTTAAGTGCCGCTGCTCCCGTTGGCCGGTGGGACGGGTGCACCCCAGCTCCTTTGAACTCCAGAGTCGAAACCAGTCCCTGGTTAAACTGGTTGGCAGACCGGTTCCCAGGCTGTCCGCTCCACCCCAAAGCTCAGTGCTCCTCTGGCGGGCACTGGGTGGGGGGCTGCGGTTCCCTCTTTACCTAAAGGGGCCCTCCTCAAGGTAGGGGGTGGTCACTGGCCCCGCCTTGGGCCAGGCTCTCCAGACCCACCCACCCCCAAACATGTCCATTGCTCAGAGGGAGGCTTCAGGGGCTGTGAAACCAGAAGCCAAATGCCGTGTGCGTGGGCAGAGGGGCATTTATTTTCCTGATGCTGGATCATACGCATATTGAACTCTGCAAAGTACCACTTCCTGTCCCTTCCCCCAAACTTCCAAGGGTTCATTGCACGGGCCTTTGGTGGATATTATAAAGGGGGCAACACCTAGGGCCAGCTTTCCCGGAAGGAGGGGAGATGAGCTGTGGCGAGACTAGACTGGAAGAGAGGGAAAGGCAGAAGGCAGAGCGTGCTGGGCAGGGGGGCAGGGAGGCGACATCCTCACGGATCCCCTCAGTGACTCACCCCCTCCTGCAAACCTGCATTAGCCAAGGGGGTGCTCAGCGTGGCCTCTTTGTGCTGGCTGTGCTGGTGTCTCTCTCCCTTAGGAGAGGCATCGCTGGAGAGTGATCAATATCCCCTGTGTGTTCAGTGTCCCTGCAGCTGCCTGTCCCAGTGCGGCCCGGCTTCGATGCCCAGTTCACCCACCCGGCTGCCTTCCTCCGGGGTCTGAGTATGTACACGCCAGGCACTGAACTAGTTACTGGGTAGAGAAAAGGCAGGTCTCAGTCTGTTTGTTAAGTGCCGACTTCAGCTCGGGGCATGAGCTTGCAATTTGTGAGTTCAAGCCCCGTGTCGGGCCCTCTGCTGACAGCTCAGAGCCCAGAGTCTGCTTTGGATTCTGTGTCTCCCTCTCTGCCTGCTTGTGTTGTGTCTCTGTCTCCCAAAAAATGAATAAACGTTAAAAAAAATTTTTTAGGGGCGCCTGGGTGGCTTAGTCGGTTAAGCGTCCGACTTTCGCTTAGGTCATGATCTCGCGGTTCGTGGGTTCGAGCCCCGCGTCGGGCTCTGTGCTGACTGCCGGCTCAGAGCCTGGAGCCTATTTCAGTCTGTGACTCCCTCTCTCTCTGACCCTCCCCTGCTCACACTGTCTCTCTCTCTCTCTTTCTCTCCTAGAAATAAAAAATTTAAAAAAATGTTTAAACCAAGACAAACTCCTATTCATCCCTCAGGACATGAATTATTACACCTCCTATGCCGCCCCCAAGATTTTTTTTGTCCCTCCAGAGTTTGCTTATATGTTCTTAGTTAACGTGATATATACCATAATTGATCATATGTGTGTATGCACATAGAATTACACACAGAGAATTTTAGCTTAGAGAATTTTAGCTCTTTGAACCAAGAATTATCTACCACAGATACAGACCTGACATAGTAGGGACTTCATACAAGCTTTAAAACACAAATGAGAGGGGTGCCTGGGTGGCTCAGTCATTTAAGTGTCCGACTTCGTCTCAGGTCATGATCTCACAGCTCGTGGGTTCGAGCCCCATGGTGGGCTCTGTGCTGACAGCTAGCTCAGAGCGTGGAGCCTGTTTCAGATTGTGTCTCCTTTTCTCTCTGACCCTCCCCTGCTCACGCTGTCTCTCAGAAATAAATAAAAACATTAAAAAAATTTTTAAACACAAATGAGAAATCGGAGTCCTGTCTTCACCCTAAAAAATTCTTAATCTAACTTGTTGCCTTTGTCTTGCTATCCCTGGGTCAGGCAAATGTGAGAGAAAGCCCATTTCTTTAACTTCCTGTGATTTCAGCTACAGCAGACTTCTTGTTAAGTATCATCTTCCCAGGTGTTTATGTGAATTAAGGATATTATTTTGCAAGGTCTGTCTGCCTCTAGCAAGAAGTATACACAGTTGGGGTGCTTGGCTGGCTCAGTCAGTGGACTGTGCAACTCTTGATCTCGGGGTTATGGGCTTGAGCCCCACACTGGGGGTGGAAATTATTTGAAAATAAATTTCTTTTTAATGTTTTATTTATTTGAGAGAGAGAATCAGAGCCTGAGTGGGGGAGGGGCAGAGAGAGGGAGATGCAGAATCTGATGCAGGTTCCAGGCTCTGAACCAACAGCACAGAGCCCAATGTGAGGCTCCAACCCATGAACCATGAGATCATGACCTGAGTCGAAGTTGGATGCTTAACCTACTGAGCCACCCAGGCACCCCGAAAATAAAATCTTATAGGGGCACCTGGATGGCTCAGTCAGTTGAACATCCATCTCTTGATTTTGGCGCAGGTCATGATCCCAGGGCCATGGGATCAAGCCCCGACTGGGATCCATGCCCAGTTGGGAGCCTACTTGAGATTCTCTCCCTCTCCCTCTGCCCCTCTCCCCCACTCACATGTGCTCTCTCTCTAAAATAAATACAATGAGGGGCACCTGGGTGGCTCAGTCGGATAAGCATCTGACTTCGGCTCAGGTTATGATCTTACGGTTCGTGGGTTTGAGCCCTGTGTCAGGCTCTGTGCTCACAGCCAGTTCAGAGCCTGGAGCCTATTTCAGATTCTGTGTCTCCCTCTCTCTCTGACCCTCCCCTGCTCACTATTTCTCTCAGAAATATTTCTCTCAGAAATAAAAAATAATTTAAAAAAATTTTAAATAAATACAATGAAAAAATTAAAACCTTTTAAAAAATAATAAAGATGATTGTCCCAGGAAGGTGCCCACAGCATTCTATATCTGTCACTTTTCTGAAAGCTCCATCTCTTTGAGAATGGACGTCCAGTCTAAAAGACACCAGAAGAGGCTAAACACTCATCCCAGCTCAGGTGCTAGAAAGAGACTGGAGGGTGGATGGGATGGGCCTGGGGTACAGCACTCGAGGGTTAGGGCACCATGTCCATCTTCATCAGAAGGGGTTCCTCCCGGAAGCACTCACGCCCATACTCCCTGACTCCAAACTCCAGGCCTTTCTGATGCCTGGGACCTGGTGGGGAGCGGGTGTGTGTGTGTCTGTGTGTGTGGGTGTGTTTGACGAGTGCACAGTCCTGTTCTCTGACTTCCACACTGCAGAAGGAGCCCCAGTGATAACTGTGGCGGGCAGGGTTCAGTTGGAGGCCTACCTGTGGCCGGCCACCGGAGAACAAACACCATCAGAACCAGGTGCAGGCTCTGGAGGCTCTGGCCCACCCTCCCGAGAAGGGACAAATGCCTGGAAGTCAGGCCCAACCCTTGGCCTTCAGGAGATTTATTTCTGGGAGGAGCTGTGTTGGGAGGGGTATTGGAGACAAGGCTGTAAACTATGAGTATCTTTTAAACAGGCCACTTTATTGCTTTAGGGTTTTTTTTTTAAACGCACCTCCCTAAAACTAAGTTCAAGTAGGATATTCCACGTACAAACATGCGGCATGCGCATCTTCAGAAATTTGTCCTTGTTGAGTGAAGGAAGTAAAATACACCCAGGGAGCCCCAAGGACCCTGGGGCCCTGTTCTGGCAAGAAGACACAGGGCCCCCATTAGATTACAGTCACAAGCAGTTCAGGGAGCCTGATTCTAAGCCCTGAGCTGTGGAAGGAGGGATGAAGAAAAGAGATGGAGAACATGTAGCGCACCCTCTCCCCCCTCCCCAGAACCAAGTGACCCGGGTCCCTACTCATTACTAAATGGCTGCCTGCACACGCCACCCCTCTTATTGCTTCCTTTACAAGCAGCCAATAAGCACCTGACGTTCAATGTCAAGTGCCATGCAGGTGCTGGGGTTGCCCAGATGAACAAGCCTGTACTCCCTGCCTCCACGGTGCTTACAGGCGAGGTCCGGAGACAGACTAAAGAAAAACTACACAACAACTACACGGCTGATGAGTCTCCAGGGCTTTTAGCCCAGCAGGCAGACACACTACACACACACACACACACACACACACACACACACACACAATGACTGTGAGCAAACACAGAAAACACAGACCATACAGTAATAAACATATGGAGGATAAAAGAAATGGACTCTTTGAACATCAAGCGTAAGCCTTCTTTTTATGACTGTTCCAGGAAGATAAGTAATGGATGTTCTTGCCCAGAATGAGGTGTGGTAAGAAGGAACTTTGGAAAGGGGCAGGGACTGCAAGGGTGGGGGTTTCAAGCATCGGGCACAACAACTGGGGGAAAGATGGGAATCAGGCTGGAGGAGAGGGAGGAAGAGACCCAGGGCTGAGCTGGCGGGCGGGGGGGGGGGGGGGGGGGGGGGGGGGGGGGGGGGGGGTAGGACGGGGAGCTGAGTGAATGGGCTAGCGAGGTAGGGCCTTGGAAGAAGCCACATCCCACGGAGAACAAGAATGCAGGCTGGGGAGCCAGACAGGCCTGGGTTTGAATCCCAGCCCCACCAGCTACCACCTATAGGCACTTGGGACAAGTTACTTGACTAAGCATTTGGCTCCCTTACCTTCCAAAACCTGGCTAATAATAGTAGCCACATTATAAGGTTGTTGGAAGGATCTGGATAGATAGATAAAGGCTCGTAAAACTCTACACTGGCACGTGGCACACGGTTATCGCTTAATAAGGAAGCTCACAACAACAATATAGTCAGGCAGCCTGCGTGCAGGGCGCCCTGGGGCTCCGTGCTTTCCTGTCCAAAGCTGGCACAGGCCTGCTATCCACTGGGTCCCATCTGCTAAATCCGCAGAGGATCATGAGATCACAGTGGGGCGTCCCACATGCCACCTTCTGTCCGCTGGCGGCCCCCAGGCCCTGATGCCCTGGATTGCAGACCCCTTGTGTGCTTCTCTGCCCACAGGGCCTCAGGTTCTCTGTTTGGCCTTGGAGAAGGACAAACACTGCAGAATGTTGCCCAAAGTCCACACTCTGGCGCTGTCAGGGGCAGCCACCCTGAGCTGAGGCCAGCAGCCGGCCAGAAACATTCTCAAACATTCTTCTTTTCCACATGAGTCACCCAGGGCAGCTGTGGGTGCGGTGCAATGCTGGTGGTCTCTGCCTCCACCAGCTCACCCTGCCCTGCTCTGCCCCACCTGTTGGTTCAAGGAGGAGAGATGCACCTAGAGGGTGGGGCAGGGCCATGCTTCTTGGGGAGTCCCAGGGAGCCAGGAACACATAGTTGGAGCTCAGTAAGTGTTTGTTTAATCATGGGGGAGCCCCAGCAATTCTTACAGCCTGAGTCAGGACTCTGAGATGGGAGCCAAATTCCCATGAGAGGGCCCTGAAGAGACCCTTAGTTCTGCCCGACGAGCTATTTCCAGGGAAATCTCTCAACCCATGTTATAATAATGACAATTAGGGGCACCTGGGTGGCTCAGTCAGTAAAGCGTCCAACTTAAGCTCAGGTCATGATCTCCTGGTTCCTGAGTTCGAGCCCCGCATCGGGCTCCGTGTTGACAGTGCGAAGCCTGCTTGGAATTCTCTCTCTGTCCCTCTCTCCCTCTCCCCTGCTCTCTTCTCTCTCTCAAAACTAAATAAATAACTTTAAAAAACGGGGAAAAAAATCAATGACTTAGTGTTTCTCACACACACAGTCTTCAAAGCATGAGAGAGATATTAAAGCATGTTGTGAAATGCAAAGTGTTATATACATTTAGTATGTTTATTTATGTAAGCCTATAAGTAGAAATTTCAAGACAAGTGCTAGCTCCATGTTAAGGAAACTGGCTGGCAGAGAGGTTATGGAAGTAGTCCAAGGTCTTCCCGGACCGAAATCTAGGTCTTGCTGCTGTACCACACCACACAGTTCAAGAACAAATTTTACTGAGCCCTAAGTGCTGTGCTGGGGCAGAGATGGGGAGGGGGGTCCTTTCCAAAGAATCAGGCAGAGTCTCTTGGAGGAGCTAACATCCTGGAAGGGGAGGAGCCCCAAATGGCACACCGGGCCCTGTGAGGTTCCTGGTGATCTACTCTGGGCCCATGCAGTCTCCTCCTCACTCTACCCATTTCTTGCCCAATCTCATGCCTTCCCTCAGCTTCAGCCACCACGTGAACTACAGATCAGTCAGCTTGTGGCCCTCCAGAGCTGCACCCCTAGCCCCAGGGCTCCCCTGAACTACAGAGCTATAGACCCAAGTGTCTCTCCTGTTTTTTTTTTTAAATTTTTAATGTTTTTTAAAAAATTTATTTCTGAGAGAGACAGTGTGCGCAGAGGAGGGTCAGAGAGAGAGGGAGACACAGAATCTGAAGCAGGCTCCAGGCTCTGAGCTAGCTGTCAGCACAGAGCCCGACATGGGGCTTGAACCCACGAACAGTGAGATCATGACCTGAGCCGAAGCCGGACGCTTAACTGACTGAGCCACCTAGGAGCCCCAGACCCAAGTGTCTCTTGCACACTTTTTCAGTTGGGGGCCTCCCAGCACCACTAACCTGGTAGGTTCAAAGCCAAGGGCCCCTCCTCCCCAATACCAGCTCAGCATCCTACATCCCCATCTCAGTTGGTGGCACTCCTAATCCAGCCACTTTACAGGTCATCCTTGCTGTCTATCTCCCCCATCCACACACCCATTTGATGGCCAAGTTCTGTCCATTTCCGTCCAAAACATCTCTCAAATCCAGCCCTTCCCCTCCTCCTCATGCCTTATCCCAGGCCAGGCCCTGACCTCTGTATCATCACTTCGATAGTCTCCCTGTCTCCAGTCTTATCTCCCTGAAATCATCCTCCCTGCAGTAGATCTGAACAGGTCCCTCCCTGCTTCAAACCCTTCAAAGCCTCCAGTGGTTCCTCTCTGTCTGCAGGGGTGAAGTCCAAGTTCCCTAATGAGGCTCCTCCCTGTGATATGACCTTTCACCTTCACAGTCCCTTCTCTGGCCACTCCTTGCCACACACTTTTTACTGGATAGAGGTCGGCCTGCCTTCACGGCCTCCTTCATGAGTGTGAGACCTGATGCAGGGCCCTCTTGAAATTCTTCTACTTTTTAACAAGGGGCCCTACATTTTCATTTTGCCCTGCACCCCACCAATTATGCTGCCAGTCCTGCCTGCCAGGTGGTCCTCGCACCCCTCCTGCATTTTGTGGCCTCCAAAGCTTTGTCTGGATGGTCTCCTCCAACCAGAAGACCCCTCCCCACTCCCCTCTTACTGTAGCTCTTCCTTTAAGATTCAATTTAGGTGTTCTCTTTGGAATGCCTCCCTTGGCCCTCCTACCTCCCCTTCCCTGTCCTAATCACACAACACACAGCAGGTGCTCAACCCATGTCTATCAGATCAGCTGAATGGGAAGGCAAAATGTGCTAAGTGCCACAAGAGACCTACAAACTACGAAGAACAGTAAAGCCAGGCAAGGCAGGAAGAAGGCATTTCTAACGGATTCCAAATCGCCAGGGTCGGCGCTAGGACCCTGTCTGCAAACGCGGTAATCCCTGCAACGTATACCCAGCGCCCACCTGGCCGGAAGCGGCCGGGACCAACCCTACGGCGCCGCCTGCCGTGATCTCGCCGCCTCTGCGGCCTTTTCTTCGCGTCCCCGCCCTTCTCCAGCTCTGAGCCCGCCTTGCGTCTCCCATTGGCTGTCTCCGGTTCTCCCGCCCCTACCCGGGCTCAGCCATTCAGAGCGCTGAGGTGGGTGGGGCTTGTGGCCAGGGGTGGAGCGCGCGCCCCGATTGGCTCGGAGGAAAGTGGCGACGTGGCCGGAGGAGGTCCGATCGTGCCTAAACGAGGCTCAGCCAGACCTGCGCTGGATTGGTTGTAGGTGGGGCTGAGTTGGGTCGCCGGCCGGAAGCGGAAGTGGAGGGAAGATGCAGGTGTGGAGACGGGAGCTGGGGGAATGGGGCCTTGGGTCGGGACCCTGGGACAGAGTTCAGTTCGTCGGCCCTCACCCGCTTCTCCGGCCTCCCTCCCGGGTTCAGGCCTCCTCGGCCCATCATTCTGGCCCCTCAAGGTGGCGGTTGGGCCCCGGAGATAAGCGCGCGGGTGGCACGCCCCTCCCCGCGCTCACGCCCTGTTTCCCGCTGTTTCCCGCCAGGACCATCAGCACGTGCCCATCGACATCCAGACCAGCAAGCTGCTCGGTAGGAGGGGACGCCTCGCGCAATGGCTGCCAGTGGGGAAGCCCGGCCCTTTGCCTCCTGTCGCCAGCAGCTGGGAGCTGTGATGCCCCAAGGCCCCTGACCGGCCGTTCTGTTCTGTGCCCCCTGCGGTGGCTACGTGCCAGCGCTGGGAGGAGCAGGAAGGAATTATGCTTAGTCTGTACTTGACCTGCCTCTTCTACTTTAACATCCCTAACACGTGTTGTCAAATCATTCAGACACCAAGAGGGTAATGGCTTACTTTAAAGATGGTCAGCTACTAAACAGCAGATCTGAAATTGGAGCTTAAGTTTGTCGGGCTCCAGTGTCCATGCTTTTTGTATGAAAAAACAAAACCTTCCTTTAATTTTAAAAGCTTCCATCACCCCTCGATTTCAAGGGGAAAAGAGACAGACCCAGTTGAGAATAAAGACCTATTAGTTGCCAGGCCATCTCCCTGCTGCCAGTATCTGATCTCTGTACCTCCTCAGTTCAGAGCCAGGCAAGGACCTCTTCATTATGACCTTTCCAGGGCGAGTGCACAGCTCCTGGATTTTATTTTATTTTATTTTATTTTTTTAAATTTTTTTTTTTTAATGTTTTATTTATTTCTAGGAGAGAGAGAGACAGCGTGAGCAGGGGAGGGTCAGAGAGAGAGGGAGTCACAGACTGAAACAGGCTCCAGGCTCTGAGCTGGCAGTCAGCACAGAGCCCGACGCGGGGCTTGAACCCACGAACCGCGAGATCATGACCCAAGCGAAAGTCAGACGCTTAACCGACTAAGCCACCCAGGCGCCCCATAGCTCCTGGATTTTAAAATGTTAGTTGGATTAATTGATCTGGTGCTAGTTTTGTCGTTAAGGTGACCTCTGTATGACAACCGCATGCCCCTCTAGTTCTGTGACATCTACAGAATTTTTCTCTTCAAAGATTTTAGAAGAATACATCAGAGGGAGTATAACCGATAGCTAGCGTGGGACCCCAAGGTTTGACTAGTTGGCAGGTGTATTATCAAGGGTGAGGTTCTGGAGTCACCACTGTGGACCCTTTAGTCCGTCCTGGGCAGTGGCCACGTGATGGCGCTTCTTTAGTGTCTGTTCGGATTTGTCCCAGCCCTGCAGCACCTGTGCGCTCTTGGTGTATGAACTTGTCATTGGTCACAGGAAGGACCAATGGAACGACAACCATTCATTGAGAGTTTGCTCTACTAGGTGCTGTTTTAGGCACCTGACATTGTAAAAGTGATTTTTACTAGGATTTATTGAGTCCTTGCCCTGTGCTAGGCACAGTGCTCTGTGCCTTACCTTCATTCCTCTTGTATTCGGTACCTTATTACCCCATCTTACATGTGGGGAAAGCAAGGCACAGAAGGGTTAAGAGACTTGCCTAAGCAAATTGATCATGGGAAGCCAGGACCATGTGACCACAAAGCCTAGCTCTTAGCGCTCTCCTCCTGAGGAAACGTGCATGGTTCTACCCCCCCACTAAAAACCCAAATCTGGGCTCAGACTCCAGGAGGTCAGTCACATTGGTGTTCTCGTGGTGCCAGGTGTTACCTAGTCCGTAGGGCGCTGTAGGTATTAGGGGCTTTGTAGTTGTTCATTCATCCGGTACTTGGCATAATCATCTTGCATTTTCCATTGTCACGGTTAATCCCAGCCCTGAGGAAGTGGAAGTTGAAAACCATCCTCTGTCAGTAAGGAAAGATATAATTATTCATGGAAGCAAAAATATTATGGAGAATTTAGAGTGGTCAAAAGTGGCACTTTGATGTCAGGACTAGTTCACAATCTTTCTTTATCCCTGCAAGGAGGCAGTTGGCGCTATAAAAGTCACACCGTGATGAAGTTGGGCTGCTGGAATCCATTTAACCCCGAGGGTCCCTTTGAGCCTCTCTTTAGTCCCCATCTTCCCATGATCCCCCACACCTTAAACAATATGAATCCAATGTTTAGCCAGTGCCTTAGCATATTTCACTCGAGTGACGGCGTTTTGGCTGTCATGAGTGGGAATGCTGTGACTTGGGTGTTTCTTACACAGACTGGCTGGTCGACAGAAGGCACTGCAGCCTGAAATGGCAGAGTCTGGTGTTGACCATCCGAGAGAAGATCAATGCTGCCATCCAGGACATGCCAGAGAGCGAGGAGATCGCCCAGCTGCTCTCTGGATCCTGTGAGTGCTTTGGGGCCATATTACTGGACCCCCACCCCCTTTCCTGGAGCACTGTGTTATCAGCCGAACTCCTCCCTTGTTGTTTAGCTTTAGGGCCGACCCCTAGAGGAAGATGTACTTTGGGGGGTACATGCTGGTTTCTTCCAACACAAAATGCCGAAGGGGAGAGCTATGCATGCTAAGATTCCCAGCACATTCATCAGTCACCCTTGTATCCAGAGTAGGTGGGCAAGATACTATAATTCCCAAGGTCTTTGCTCTTCCTTGCTCTCTAGACATTCACTACTTCCACTGCCTAAGGATCGTGGACCTTCTCAAAGGCACCGAAGCCTCCACAAAAAATATTTTCGGCCGGTACTCTTCACAGCGAATGAAGGCAAGTGTGGCTGAAGCTGCTTAATGTGCAGCTAGCTACACTTCCAGGCTACAGGGTCAGAGCCCCTGGTCTCACTGAGGGTCTGGTGGAGATGCCTACGTAGCATGTGTCCTGAGCTTTCTCTCCATCCCCAAAGTTTATACCAAATGTAGATCCTACCCCTGGGTCTCCATTTTTAGGCCTGCTGCTTTGGGGAGTGCCCGTTGGCACCACGTTGTTAAAATGAAGTGGGTGGTCTGGCCAGCGTTGTGAACAGGGTGGAGGGTTTGCGTCTGATGTGATGTGAAGGCTGGAGGGAGCCTCCCCTGTGTGCGGCTTGAGCTGAGATGTGGCTGCCAGGTGCTGTCGCGGCTCACTTCCTGTTTCTGTTCTTACCCAGGACTGGCAGGAGATCGTAGCCCTGTACGAGAAGAATAACATCTATCTAGGTAAAGGGGCCTGGCCTGGGAGGCCGGCGTCGAGGGGCAGCCCACTCCCAGAGTTCTGAGACACTAGGCTTCCAGGAGGCACAGTCCATGTGGGGGATGAGGCTGGGGTGTGGGTGTTTTCCAGGTGGGCCAAGAAATTCCCCCAAAGAGTCTTGGGAGGAGGTGGAAGACCAGGCAAGTAGGAAGCCTTGGCCGGGCCTGGCCAGGCAGGTGTGGATAGATCCTCCACCACTGACCTCTGGGTGACTGACTCCCTCTGCACCTCTCTTCTCTGCCGGGCAGAAGAGGCACGGGCCATCCGGGGGCCACATCGGATGCCTGAGAGAGTAATTACAGGGCCGATTGTACTTCAGGGCAGGTCTCCCCCAAAGTATTAATAATAGCTCATTCTCACCGAGTATCTCCTGAATGCCAGGAATTGTACTCGTGATTCATATGGATTCTGTTAGTCCTTGTGGTAAATATTCTGGCCCCTGTTTCACAGAGGAGGGGACTGATTAGAGCGGATAAGGTGTCTGTGTGTACCTGTGCGTGTCCCCGGGGTCCCGGCAGCATGCTTGCCTTGTAGTGTGGGCGTCTGGGGTGAATTTCCTGGGTCCTTCGCAGTGGAACTCTCTAGCCTCCTGGTTCGAAATGTCAACTACGAGATCCCCTCGCTGAAGAAGCAGATCGCCAAGTGCCAGCAGCTGCAGCAGGAATATAGTCGCAAGGAAGAAGAGGGCCAGGCAGGGGCCGCTGAGATGCGGGAGCAGTTCTACCACTCGTGCAAGCAGTATGGCATCACGGTGAGCGGGAGGGCTCCTGGGGCCTCTGTTGGCCCAAGCCCAGCTCCTTGGCGTCCAAGAAAGGCTCCCTTCTCACCTCGCTTGCGCCCGTCTTGGGCCTTCTTGGGCCAGTGTCTCACCCATCTCCAGCCTCCAGGCGTTTTCTCGAATCCAGCGGGGGCGGGGGGCGGGTGGGGGGGGACTCTGCTTCTCGCCACTCCTGTCTTAGCCTCCCTCATTCATCCTCTCTAGGGAGACAATGTCCGGAGAGAACTGCTGGCCCTGGTGAAGGACCTGCCGAGTCAGCTGGCCGAGATCGGGGCCGGGGCCCAGTCCCTGGGCGAAGCCATTGACCTCTACCAGGCCTGCGTGGGGTTTGTGTGTGAAAGGTACGGGACCTGTTTCTCTCCAGCAGCGGGGACGGTCCACCTGTTTTCCCTTGCTGTCCTGTCTCCTCTGCTTGTGTTTTCGGACTTGACGCTTGAGTTTTGTTGTACGTACGTGAGCCCGTGGGAGCCTCGCCCACCTGGCCGTAGGGCTCGGGGTGGCGCCAGCGTGGGCTCCACGAGTGGGCAGCGGGAGGGTCAGCCCCGTGCCCTGTTGCAGCCCCACAGAGCAGGTGTTGCCAATGCTGCGATTCGTGCAGAGGCGGGGAAACGCCACGGTGTATGAATGGAGGACGGGGACTGAGCCCTCTGTGGTGGAGCGGCCGCACCTCGAGGAGCCTCCTGAGCCGGTGGAAGAAGATGCGGTAAGACGAGCCGAGGGAGAGCTGCTCCCTCATCTCCCCCCCCAGGCTCCACCCCTACACCCGGCCCTATCTGAGTTCAGAGTCCCAGAAGGAAAAAAGGGATTTAGGTGAGAGAAACTATACATAGAGGGGTCCAGGGGGCCCTCCTCCTTTATTTTTCCTGCCTCCTTGAGGCCAGAGTATAGACGGATGCTGAAGAGGCTCAGTGAGCCTGTTGGCTTTAAACTAGGAATCCTTCACCCCGGTGAGCTCTGAAGTAGGGCCGGCCTTTGGGGAGTGCAGAGGCCATTGCACTTGAACAGCGTGCCAGTGCCCCCTCCAGGGGCAGCTGAGGCCCCTGGGGAGGCAGGCCCCACTGCTTTCACCCACTTTCTGTGAGCTAACACTCTTTTCCCCTTCTAGATTGACTGGGGCGACTTTGGGATGGAAGTGGCTTCTGAAGGGATGGACTCTGGCATCTCTGTCCAGGCTGCCAGAATTGACTGGGGCATTTCTCTGGAATCGGACTCAAAGGTTAGGACACTCTCACACTCCATCCCTCTGAGCGCTTTTCTGTGATCACCGCTTTGGTGCTAAGAGACGCGTTGGCTGTCTTCTAAAGGCAATGCTTGAAGCCCATAGCTTTCAGGCCAGGTGTGGTGTGTGGGGCTGGGGCGGGGTTTCCACAGTGACGTGTCTGGGGTTTGACACTTTTCTCCTGGCGTTTGGGGCAAGGTGTTGGGTACAGGTAGGCAGTAACTCTAAGCCAGGATGAGGGTGGCAGCATACATGAGCGCCCCGCCCCCCACTGCCATCATTACCACGTACATCAGGGCCGTAAGTCCTTCATGCAGGCGAAATGTGCAGGCCTTGGACTCCTCAAGGGCTTTGGTTTATCCTGGCTCCCTTTGCTGGGGAAGATTCTTACAATCCTGCCGGGGTTCTTTGATTTCCACCTAGGAAGCTGGGGGCGATGGGATAGACTGGGGAGATGATGCCGCCTTGCAGATCACAGTGCTGGAAGCCGGAACTCAGGGTAAGCACGGCCCTCCCCAGAGTCCCGGCAAAAGTGGGTGCTCAGAAGCCGCCCCCGCCCCCCATGTCTCTGGAAACCAAGAAGAAATGCACTTGCCACAGTGGTCTCCTCACACATTTAACTGTTCTCTCAAAATCTTGATGATGATGTGAGTGTGGAGGGACATTATAAGTCTGGAAGCTCTCAACTTTTGAGATTCCGAATGTGGATCATCTTTTCTGACGGGAGGTTCCTGGAGGGCTGCTGGGCTTGGAGGTGAGACCTGACCCCCCCCCCCCCTGCTCGCCCACCGGCTGAGAGGATGCAGCAGTGCTCTGAGCCGCTAGAGGGCAGTGCAGGATGAAACTTTGTGGCCCACCAGAGCAGAGGGGGCCTTTCCAGGCCCTGAACCCAACTCTGCGGTCCTCCTCACAGACTGGCCCTCCTCACAGACTGGTGGCTGGTGGTAGTGTCCGATTAGGGCCGAGACATATGGAAAGGGGTAACCCTTCGCCCCTGGGATGAGGCAGATAGTAGCTTTAGTGCAATGAGTTTGTGTCCATATTAACCCACCAGAGCCTCTCATGCTTGAGGGTCTTTTTTCCATGGCCCCAGCAACTTTATCACTTCTCTGTCTCTCTTCCTGGCAGCTCCAGAAGGTGTTGCTAGGGGCCCAGATGCCCTGACACTTCTCGAATACCCAGAGACCCGGAATCAGTTCATTGATGAGCTCATGGAGGTACCTTTGTCCTCTGGGAGGACCCTTCCTCTTTGTGTTAATTTCTGCCTGTTCCCTTCCCAGTGGACTGCTGGCCGGTGAGGGCCTTGTCGAAGTTCTTAGTCCTCATCTATTCCCTTCTCTTTCTGCCCAGAGAGGCCCCTCTTAGCCTTCAGGACAGGGGAGGACAAAGGGATCCAGTTTCTAAGATAGAATAAGAGTGACAGGCTATGTGGCTGGTTCCCAAACTCTTCCTAGCCCTTTTCTTAATCCAGGGCTTCTCACATGTGGATCCCCATTCCCTGAATTTCATTCCTCACAGAAAGAACGTACTTTCACTGGGGCAGAGAGAACCTGTTAAATCTGTGTGTCCTTAGTTATGTTTATTTTTGAGAGAGAGAGAGAACGTGAGCGGGTAAGGGGCAGAGAGAGAGGGAGACACAGAATCCGAAGCAGGCTGCAGGCTCCAAGCTGTCAGCAGAGCCCGATGCGGGACTCGAACTCATGACCCATGAGATCATGACCTGAGCTGAATTCGGACAAGTATTCAGAGGAAGTAACACCTCCTTACCCAGAGTCCAACCCTCACATCTCATTCTGGTGTTTTGAGCATCTGAGAACTTCTGAGTTCTCTTCTGGGTTTCAACCGGATCCTCTTCTGCCCTCAGCTCGAGATCTTCTTGTCCCAGCGAGCTGTGGAGATGAGCGAGGAGGCAGACATCTTGTCCGTGAGCCAGTTCCAGCTGGCCCCCGCCATCCTGCAGGGCCAGACCAAAGCCAAGGTGGATACCATGGTGTCGGCGCTGCAGGATCTGATTGGCCGGCTCACCAGTCTCCGAATGCAACACCTGTTTATGATCCTGGCCTCACCAAGGTCTGGTTTCCCCCTTGTCGAGGTTGGGCTGTTCTGGAGCATGATGTGGGGCTTCCGCCCTCTCAAGCAGCCCCCGACTCCTTGTGTTCCTCTTCTCTGCCTCCCATAGCAGTGCCGTCAAGGTTGGGGTCAGGGGTGGGTCTCTTGGGGCAAAACGGCTCTGCTTCCTGAGTAGGGCAGGGACCTGGGAGCGCTCTCCCTCGCAGAGGAGCGAAGGGGGTGGAGGCTGAGAGGCCTGTTACAGATTTGGTTTCTTGAGCCTCACCTTTCCCAGCAGAGGAGTGGGGATGCTTGGGTTGCTCAGCCACACCGCTTACCCAAGTGCCCTGCACAGGTATGTGGACCGAGTGACCGAGTTCCTCCAGCAGAAGCTGAAGCAGTCCCAGCTTCTGGCTTTGAAGAAAGAGCTGATGGTACAGAAGCAGCAGGAGGCCCTTCAGGAGCAGGCGGCCCTGGAGCCCAAGCTGGACCTGCTGCTGGAGAAGACCAAGGAGCTGCAGAAGCTGGTAAGACAGGAAAGGCAGACCCGCCAAGGCTTGGGGGATGGGGACCCCCAGTTTCTACAGAATGAGGCACCTTTGCCTCTCTGCTTCCCACCCACTTGGTATCACTGTCTTTCAGATTGAAGCTGACATTTCCAAGAGGTACAACGGGCGCCCCGTGAACCTGATGGGAACCTATCTGTGACAGCCCCCGCGTTCTACCTGCCCTCAGGAGGGAGGGTGCAGACAGCCAGGGCTGCTGTGGCAGGGCCCTTCCTGGCCAGCGACCAGGCGATCGGAGGATGGAAAGCCACATGGAGGAGCCATCACCTAAAGGGTGACCTTGACACTGTACCCTCTGGCAGGAAGCTATCTTGATTGGCCCTGTGGCCTGTCAGCCTGCAACCCTAGTTCTGGTCCTTATCATCATCTAGTTGAACTTAATAAAAGAGGAAGAGACTCTTGCTTCGCCACTGACAGTTTCTGCTTCTCTGGGCCTTAGGTCAAGGCTGTGCACCTGTTTGCCTGGGGTTCTGGATCGAGTGGGTTCCCCAGGCCATCGGCTGTTCCTGTGGAGTCCTGGGTTAGGGACTCTCCCTCTTTGCTTCTGGTGACAGGGAAAGCCCCAGAGTAGCATCTACAAGTGGTTCAGTGAGCTCTGGGGTGGCTGAGTCTGCTGGGCCCCTTTCTCTCCATGGCCGGGCCAGACTGCCCTGCTCGGGCCAGGAGCCCAAGGGGAGCAGTCGAGTGGCAGCCTTGCTGGAGCCAGCAAAGCTGTATTTTCCTTTTAATCACAGCTCACCTCCAGGCAGGGGGAAAATGTGGTTTGGGGAGGAAGGGTCTGATAAACAAGGTGGAGACAGGACTTGTCACCTTCACTAGCTGCCTGTCCACTTCCTACCCATAAGTGCCCACGCTGTGATTGGGTAGAGCCCACCCCGGGACAGCGCCCCTCTCCCAAGCCACCTACTCATCCCCATTTCCCAGGAAGGGTAGGGGTTGGGGGTGGCCGGCAATTCGATTTTAATTTCATAGCAGAGCAGTTGATTCATGGCTCTTTGTCGCTGGCGTTGACTCCAGTAATGACTTTCCATCAAAATGAAAAGTGGAGTGACACCACTCATTATTCCTGCTGCTTGTTATCTCAGTTCTGGGGAGGGCCGCCCCCTCCCCGCTGCCTTTCAGCCGCCCCGGACAGTGAGTGATGGCCCCTATTAATCACCGACCCCGCGGACTCCGGCGGACACACGCTATCCGAAGGAGAGAGAGATAAGGCAGCATGAACTGCTCGAAGCCGCTCCTATCAATTAATGTCAGCCCGTCGCTTCCCCCCGATCTCTGCCTGTTCACCTCCTTTTGGAGGTGCCGGGGGCTGAAATTAGTCTAGGAATTGGGAAGGGGAAAACACTAGTGTGGAATGTTGAGGTAAAGCCGTCCTTAAGAGTTTGAAGGACGCACAGGGGACTGGACTGGACGGGCTGCACCCCGCCCTCAGCTGCCACCATGCAGGTGCCCTGCCTTGGGGCTGTCTGCGTCTCTTGTCCCTTTCCCTCTGAGAGGGTGGCCGCCACCTACCGCCCCACCTGTTCAGCTCTGGCTGCATTGGCCTCCGGACCTCCTGCAGCAGCCATCACCTCACCAGGCCGGCCGCCCGCACCCCCTCTCGTGTCCCTCTCGTGTCCCTCATCCAATCACCAGCTGCTACCAGGTGCCGTGCGGTAGGGAGCAGCCCTGTGGACCACGTGACTGCAGCAGGCCTTTCGGCCTCGGCCTCGAGAGCACTTGCTCCGGGCCCATCCGGAGGAGCACCTGGCCTGCATTCTCGGCCCTGCCCAGGACCCATGGCAGGAAGTCAGCCAGGCTGAGGCTTGGCCCTCTTCACGGGAGGGGAAGTGGGTTTAGACAGAAAGGGGTTTCTCGGCAGATTTTGGCCACGTTGCTCAGCGGTGTGGTTAGGAGACAGTTCTATCTCCGAGGGATTAGCTGTTTACCTGCTAACGCGAAGGCCCACCCCAGGCTGGTGTAAATTGTTTCTTTTTTTTTTTTTTTTTTTTAATATTTTTATTTATTTCTAGGAGAGAGAGAAACAGCGTGAGCAGCGGAGGGTCAGAGAGAGAGGGAGTCACAGACTGAAGCAGGCTCCAGGCTCTGAGCTGGCAGTCAGCACAGAGCCCGACGCGGGGCTCGAACCCACAAACCGCGAGATCATGACCTAAGCGAAAGTCGGACGCTTAACCGACTAAGCCACCCAGGCGCCCCAAGTGTAAATTGTTTCTTAAACGCCTTTACCCCCATAACATGAGGCTTGTTGTCCAGAACGTTTAGCTCCAGCTGCCTTTGGCTCGGGCTTCACTTCCTGGGGCCACTTTCCTGAGCACCCTGAGACCCGGAAGACCCTGCCGGGCTCTCTGTTCCCCTGGGGGTGACAGTGCTGCATCTTGCAGACCCGCCCCCAGGTTTCTCCTAGTGTCCTGTGATTGCAGTTGGGTTCCTGCCTGCTTTTCTCTGACTCATCCGACAGACTCCATCGTGAGGATGAAATGAGTTAATATACACAGGGGTCTTAGAGGGGTGCCTGGCACAGAGTAGGGGCGCCTGGACCAAGGCAAGCTCTTGCTCCTGGGGCGTGATGCAATGGCCGAGGACTCTTCATCCTGGTCTAGCTTGCCTTCTGGAAGGGAAGGGGGAAAAGCTCCCTTGGAACTTTATAAGACCAACTTCTTTTTTTTTTTTTAATTTTTTTTTAATGTTTTATTTATTTCTAGGAGAGAGAGAGAGAGACAGCGTGAGCAGGGGAGGGTCAGAGAGAGAGGGAGTCACAGACTGAAACAGGCTCCAGGCTCTGAGCTGGCAGTCAGCACAGAGCCCGACGCGGGGCTCGAACCCACGAACCGCGAGATCATGACCTAAGCGAAAGTCGGACGCTTAACCGACTAAGCCACCCAGGCGCCCCTATAAGACCAACTTCTGAGCAGTCAGGTGTCTGGGGCTGCCAAGAAAATGTTCCAGGAGGGGAGGAGGTGGGCCGAGATTTTCCATTAGTTTGATGTGAGTTGTAGTGCCAAGAGCACCTCTTGCTTTTATGTTCACTTTTATGTCACCTTTTCCCAGAGAAGGTTTCAGGCTCTCCCCACCCCGCCAACTGGTCACCCTGCTTCAGACAAAGAGGTGGAATCAGTTTTTCTAGACTCTCCCTCCCTGCTAAATCCAGCTGCCCAAGCCCCGTCACCGGCTCTCAGCTCGTGACCATGACCATGGGCTGAGAGGACTGCTGATGACTGTCCATGTGGGATCTGGCTGCCCACTGAGGGCTTGCCAAGGACATCTAGAACTAGTTTCTCATTGCCAGCGTGGGGCAGGGATTATCTGCATCACCTACACAGGAAATCTCGCCCGTTGAGAGAATTCCCTGCTTCAGAGAGCTGGCCTGGAGCTGAGGACCCGAGGAAAGCACATCCCAGGCCTCCAGGAGCAGCAGCTGAGTGTGGCTTGGCGTGGAGTCCTGCTCACTCACTCGTGCACACCCCCCTTCCCCTTTCTCTCTCCCTCGTTAATTCCCCAGATGTTGCTTGCACGGCCTCTCCTCTAGAAACACAGGTCCTGTGGCTCTTCCCTGCCTCCCCCGACACCTGCTTGTCCTGTTGCTAATTTTTATTTCATCTTTTAATTGCCACCTATTATCCTCTCCTCCGCACTCCTATACACGCACGTACAAAATCTGATAATGGTAGTAGGTTAGGAAGAAAGCAAGCAAAGCATCACGATGATTGGCACATTGTCTAGATCCAGACTGCCCGGGTCAAATCCTGGCTCCGGTCTTACTACCATGTGATCTTGGACAAGGCCCAGGACCCCTATGTGCCTCATTTACTTCACCTATAAAGTGAGAGTAAGAGACACTACTGGCCTCCGGGTAGGGAGCTGTGGTGGGTACAGCATCTAGGAGGTCCCTGGTCTAGTAGGACTCCGTTGTCAGTGAGGGGATGGACCGGAAATTACCTGGACTGAGGTTAAAAACTTGTGTTTGGGTCCTGGCTCTGTGTGTCTCAGATATCTCAGCAGGTCCCAGACCAAACCCATGGTCTTCCCCATTCCGCTCTTCATCCCTCTCTGGTATTTCCTGTCTCTGCCGATCAGCAGGCTCCAAGCCTCTGCTTTGTCACCGCAGTCGTTCCCCGGCTTGGAAACTCTAATGCCCCCCCGAGCTCCCGAAACTCCTAGAGTAGCGGGCCAGCCCTTGGTAATCAGACCGCCATCTCTCTTCCAGCCTGGGTATCCATCCAAGACACCAAACCCACATGTGTCCCCAGAGCTCCAGCCATCTTCTTGGCCCCCCCAAGGCCTTCCCGTCCCCTCACTCAGATATGACCCAAATACCTCTCTCTGTGGACATTTCCAGGCCCCGACAGAACGAGCCCCTCCTCCTAGCAGCATCCCTGAAGCCTCGTGCAGATGCCCTTCAGAGCGCCGGTCACAGCGTCACGGTGACCTCCTGACCTCTGGGCCCCAACCTGAGCTGCCTGAGGATAGGGATTGGGTCTTGCTCACTTTTGTGTCCCCTTCGGAATCTCAAAATTAACTTCTCCGAACTTCAGTTGTCTTAATGATCTCTAAAGTGACTTTGACCTCTACAATGTTACGATCACGTGGCTCACCAGTTAGCAAAACAGAGGAGCCCCGCAGAGCACTAGAAGTTGGGCAGAAACCTGGGTTTATGTAGGTTTTTAAAATGGACTAGCGGTCAAACGAAAATTCCCTTCTGCATGCTTTCCAGTGAGAGCTTCTGCCCTGAGCATCGCCTGGGCTCCCTCCCTCCTCTCTCCCTGCTTAGTCGAGGGCTCTCCTGGAGAGCAGAGGAGAGAGGGCTCTTGTCCAAGCCTTTGGAGACACCACAGCTTCTGCTCCGAAACTGGGGCGATCCCCCAGCCCCCACTACTGAATGCTGTTCGGATGCCCTGGAGCTCAGCGGGAAGGTGTCAGGCCTGCCCCAGGGCTTCCAAGGCAGGGGTGCCAGCAGAGAGACGATGACACGATGACAAAGCAGACCAGCCTGTCCTCCAAGTGCCCTTCCTCTCAGCTGATGGGCAGGGCCTCCCTGAGTCAATTGGCCTGAGTAAACTCTGACTTATCCTGCCTGCCACCCCTCTACTCATTCCCGGGGCTTCAAAGAAAACCAGTTTGAATATTTAAACTTCTCCTGTGTGTCTAATAAAAAGTTCTGCACTATTTAACGGCCCGGCTATCCATTACTGTCGGGAGCTGCCCTCTCCCTCCCAGCCTGCCCCTCCCTCCCTCTTGCCCAAACCACGTGCAGCAAAGCCATTTGTCACAGCGCTCCCGCAGCGGGCTGCGCTCCGCTGTGTCTGAAAGGACAAGCCGCCCCACAGGGGAAGGTGGGAATGAATAAAGGGACTATGCAAATTGCTGCTTAATCTGCAGAGAAACACCCAGGCTTTGGGGAGACGCTCATTAC